CAATCCAATCTTGTAGATTGAGTCCTGTCTCATTAACATAACTGCTGCTAATCCCATCACATCAACATTATAGAGATAGGATTTATAACACATAGGAAAATCACATCAGATGACAAATGGTGGACAATCACACAATACTGGCAATTATGGCCTAGCCAAAATGATACACATATTTCTAGGGGACACAGTTCAATCCATGACAGGTACCATGACCCAGGAAGAGCATCACAAACAGTTTTCACTCCAAAAATAACTCATTTATTTGAATATTTCCAAATGCTGGTAACTGTGCCTTTCCAATAACACAAAGGAAACAGTAAACATACTTACAAGCCTTATCTTGCTGTACAGAAGCCAAAAGACATGAAAGTTTCACACAATCACTCCTCCAGGAAGCATCCCCTCATACAAATGGCTCTCAACACTCAAATATGGCACAGGCCAACTTCCTTGTTTTTTAGGCAGTTGCACCAGCTTCCACCATGATTCCAGTGGCTCAAATGCCTGCCAAGAAACCTCCGAGGTGGAAAATGTAGCTGGAACATATATGTGCCATCCTCTTTTCATGGCTGTTTCAGTAATTTCTCTGTTTCAAAGAATTTATTTCATCTGTCAAACTAGTATATAGTTGTCTATAACATTCCATTATTACAATTTTTTTTCCTTTAAAATCTCTAGGTATGACACCTCTTTCATTTCTGATATTGGTAATTTGTGTTTTCTGTCTTTTCGTACTGAACAGTTTAGCTATAGTGTTATTAATTTTATTTATATTTTTCAATATCAATTAGTCCATTTTTAATTTCCTTGTTTTCTACTTCACTAATTCCCAGTCTAAGCATTATTCTTTTTTTCCTCATTTTGAATGTAATTTGCACAAATTTAGTTAGCATAAATTTTTTTCCTTTTTTTGAATTAACATAAAATAGCATACATAATTGATTTTAAACTATTTGTCTTCTCTAATATGAGCATAGAAATATATGTTGTTGTTGTTAGCTGCTGTGGAGTCGGCCCCTGACTCAAGGCAACCCCATGCACAATGGAATCAGACTGTTGTCACCCATAGGGTTTTCATTGGCTAATTTTTCAGAAGTAGATCACCAGGCCTTTCTTCTTAGTCTGTCTTAGTCTGGAAGTTCCACTGAAACCTGTTCAGCATCATAGTAGCACACAAGCCGTCACTGATACACAGGTGGTGGCTGCAATTACGGTGCATTGGCTGGGAATCAAATCTGGGTCTCCTGCATGGAAGTTGTTTTCCTTTGAAGACTGTTCATTTTTCTTCTAGAAAGCATTTTGATTACTGGCCAATTACTTTCAACTTGTGTAGGCTTGGTTTTATGCCTTGTTCATGTACAGCTGTGAAAAGCCCAAAGTGTTTCCCAAGTCTTTCCATTTGTCAGAATTCAACCAAACTCCATCTCCCTTGTGAATCTTGTTGAGGCTTTAGTCTTTTCTCTATGGTGTAGTTGTTATTCATAAGTTGTGGGCTTTCTGGTATCTCAGTTGGATCCTTGAATTACTAAGTAGGTCTCTCCACACTAGCTGGAACACAATTTGAAAATCTCCCAGCGATGCTCAACATCTAGCATATCTGTTTCATTCTCAATCCCCTAGCAGCTGCTTTCTGGTTAAGTCTTACAAGGTCTCACTTTACACATGGGCCCAGTCCTATGCAAAATTTGCAGAAAACCAAGGCACACTTTGAGTAACTGTTGTGCACAGCTCCCCACTCTCTAGTATCCTCCTATAAAATCCAGCCATTTCAGTGGCCCAAAACTTTAATCTTTGCCTCCATACCACAGCCAGACCTCTATTCTCTGCTTTGGCTCCAGCTCACTACTATAGTTGGGAAATTGTCAACAGGAAGACAGCAGGAACAATTGTGGGGCTCACCTCATGAATTTTCCTTCTCTCAGAGATCAGTTTACTGCTGCCTGTTGTCCAATACCTTAAAATGGTTGCCTCATATCTGGCCAGTTTAATAGATGCAAATGGAAGGAGAGCTAATCTGTTACCACTTATTCCACCACAGCCATAAATAAAAGTCTCTAAAATTCTTCTATTTTAAAATGATGTAAAAACTGTGTAGTGGCAGTGTTTGACCTCCTCTAACTTCACAAGGGGGAAGGAGAATCAAGATCAACAACCCAAGGCTGATTCCTGAGGCGGAGGTCAGATATGCCTCCTCTCTCTGCCATCTTTACCAATTCTGACAACTGTCCCTCCCGTGGCACTCTCTACTTCTCTGCTGAGTTCCATAATTTGTTGCAATGGCCACACAGAACTCACAGACAATACTCACAATTATGGGGTTTATTAGGGAAGTAACAGGTTACAATTCAGGCTCAGGAACAGTCAGTATAGTTCTTTCATCAGGACAGCCTCATCTCAGCCATGCCCACAGACATGCCTCTCTGGCCCCTCGGCCTCTGCCCTGCTTGGGCAAGTGCTTTTAGCTCTGTCAATAAGTGCCCAGAGGCACCCCACTCCGCCAGTAAGCCTCCTGCCCAAAGGCATTTAGCTTTCTCACTCCCTGAGTGGGGAAGCCCACCATGTCGTCTCCTGCCAGTTTCTCCTGCTACCTGTTTCTCTGCCATCACTTCTCGCCATCTTCAGTGTTACAGCTGTCTGTCTCCTGGTTCCAGGAGCTTCTCAGAGCAGGGGTCCTGGGTCCAAAGAGTACACTCTGTTCTTGGTTCTTCTTCCTGGGTGGTGGTGGGATCCTCTCCCTGCTCTGAAGTTGGCTCTTTTAAGCCTAGTGGGATGGCAAAAATGACCAATCCCCTTGGTGGGTCACAATTACCTTATTTGCACAGTCCCACTCAATCACTTGGGTGGCAGTTACAAGACCCTGGTGAGAAAGGCCACACAAAAGCAATCCATAGCACCATGGATGTCTTATAAAATTATACTTAAATGTTCTACAATGTTCCATTTATTAAACATATCTTAATCCACTAATGCCTTAATTAAGGAGTCCAGGAGGCAAAGCTGCTAACCAAAAGGTCGGCAGTTTGAACCCACCAGCTGTTCTGTAAGAGAAGGATGTGGTAGCCTTGGAAACCCTGTGAGGCAGTTGTACTCTGTCCTCTAGGGTCGCTATGAGTAAAAATCAGCTGGACTGCAGTGGGTCTGGTTTTTTGGAAGAGCCTTAATTAAGGAGCTCTGGTGGCACTGTGAATAAGAGCTTGGCTGCTAACCAAAGGGTTGTTGGTTCGAACTCACCAGCTATTCTGCAGGAAAAAGATGTGGCAGCCTGCTTCTGTAAAGATTATAGCCTTGCAAACCTTTGGGGGCAGTTCTACTCTGCTCTGTGGGATAGCTATGCGTTTGAATCAGTTTAATGCCTTAATTAGCTGCCAAGTGTATGTATGATTCACTTAATCACCCAGTAGAAAACATGGGCAAATAATCAGACTATTCCTTCTTCAAAACACTTGGTATGCTAAAATTTTAGAATGCTTCGTAGATTATATATTACATTAAATATAAACTTTTTAATAAACAGGTTTAATTTCTTCTTGCTTCTGACAAAAAAAGTGATAGCTTGGGAACTATAAATAAACAAGGTTGAAATCGTATTTTTTACTACTACCATTTTAATTATTAATTTATATTTTTACTGAAGTATATCATCTTAAAATGTCATACTGTTTTTGTAAGTCTTATTACCAAAAAGCGAACAAACCAGCAAACAACAAAAAACACAGGGATCCTCTGACCCCTCTCTATTTCTTCCACTTCTCAGAGCAATCACTGTTTTAGCTTTTTCTCTTGGAATGTACTCCATATCATTAAATAATAACATAAATATACTGGGTACTATTCAGTTTTAGATATTATCTACTGACTTCCCACTATGGAATATGAGGTCTTATACCAAACAGCACCACTGCCCACTTGTATCCCCATGCTCCTCCAATCTTCTCTAAATAATTATGTCAATTTTTTTTGTTACAACAGTATTTAATATTTGCATTATGATGATGGAAATATTATACCCTGCTAAACCAAATAATTATATTAAGATTACATTTACTTCTACAACATTCTGTTTTCCTTGGAATTATACTACTTTAAAAAAAATTTTTTTCATTTGCTTAGTATCTTAGTTTCTTGGTGCTGGTATAAAAGAAATTCCACAAGTGGGTAGCTTTAACAAATTTATTTTCTCACAGTTTAGGAGGCTAGAAGTCCAAATTCAGGGTGCTGGCTCTAGGGAAGGCTTCTATGACAACTCTGGGGAAAGTTCCTTGTCTCTTTTCAGCTTCTGTTCCTGGGTTCCTTAGTGATCTTCATGTGGCGGGTATCTTCCCCTTTGTTTGTGCTTCCTTTTCTGTACCTACTCTGTTCTTTTTATATCTCAAAGGTGATTGGCTTAAGACACACCCTACACTGATATGGTTTCATTTATGTAACAAGGGAAGTCCTATTTCCAAATGGAAAATAAGGATTTACAACCCATATTTTGGGGAAACACAATTCAATTCATAACATTTAGTTTTCTAATTTATACCCAACAGTCAATGTCTAAATCTTCCAATTTTTTACACATCAAACATTTAATCAATTTGATCTTGGAGGCATTTCTTCCAGAGACCTCTGTGCCCCTGATTCAAGTACACTACCTAAATGTGCTGCACAACTGTCATCTTGGAATCTCCTTTTATAATCATCCAGGGATTCCCTTCATTTTCTGTCCTGTTTTGTGTTGCACTTCTTGGATCCAGTGCTATGGATTCTAGTTATAATTCAAACAGATGTGAAATCAGTTGTACAACCTAATAGAGTAAAAACAATCGCTAAGATACTGTTAAGTATAAGTAAACCAAATATCTGACCTGTAAAATCCATGCACAGAAAAATAACAGCATCTTTCTTAGCATCCTGAATGGTCCCATGCCTTGGAAAACAGGAAAATACATGCAATTTGAAAATAAGTTATTCTTCAAAGCCTCATAAAAGTATACAAGGAAATTGATTACTGACTTACATTCTTTATTGAAGTAAAATTACAACATGTATAAAACAGCAATTGATATACAGAGTGATTTAGTTCATCATAATATATACAAGCATCTTAAAAAGGTAAGGATGTAAGTTACTATGATTATGGAAATAAAATCTATATTAAAACATTCTCCACAAAGGATTTATTTAGCCGTTTTTGTTCGAAGTCGTCGTTTGAGAATCTGGTGATCACTTTCCTTTACTTTCTGGTCCATCAGTATCTGAAATTTACAATTTCACAATTATTAAAAAATTATAACTGAAAACATAAATGAAAGCTTTTTTATAATAAATGATGTGTTCATGTGCTTAGTAACTGAAATAATAGATACACTATAATACTTTTTGTCATCTTAGACTGCAGGTATAACGTCATCCTTAAAATGCATACCTACAGAAATAACAAGGAACCCTGGTGGTATAGTGGTTAAATGCTCAGCTGCTAACTGAAAGGTTGGCGGTTCAAACCCACCAGCTGCTCTGCGGGAGAAAGATGTGGCAGCCTGCTTCCATAAAGATTTATAGCCCTGGAAACCCTATGAGGCAGTTCTACTCTGTCCACATAGGGTCGCTATGATTGGGAATCAACTTGACGGCAATGAGTTTGGTTTTTATACTTGAAATAATTATTGAAATATTTGAATACAAGACAAATATTCAAATAATATTTTTAAAATAACCTTCCACAGCAACAAGTTAATAAACTTAGAAGGTAGAAAGTGCATTACACTGCAATTAAGAAAGGAAGTAATATTCAGCCAAGGGAAGATATCATACACTAATCAGATAGATAGTGGAAAATGACCAACTGAACAAGTTATACAAGAACATTTCCTAACTAGTCCTAATTCTTTACCACCTGCCTCCAAGTGTCTAATAGCTACTATTGCAAAAGGTCTGTCCTGATTTTTCTTGCCACTTCTTGTAGAAGGTTTCTCCTTTCATTATTTTTCTATCTTCACTTTTACACATTAAGCAAATGCGAACATGATAGATAATTAGAACTTGCCCTGTAATAGAACAGCCTGGTATGAGTGAGAACGAGTCACAGAGTCAGGATGATAACATTTTTTTCTTAATAGAACCTGGAAGGATTAGAGAAAGGTGGGAGGAAATGACTGAATGTCAATTCTATATTTTTACCATGTACATTTTAGGACAGATAGGTGTAACTCTTGTGATAAAGATTACAAGAAAAATACATGTTACATGCAAATAAATAAACAGTGGTTAATTCTACTGATGGAATTAAAATTCCTCTGATGCATTTTCAAATGCAAATGGTATAACACTTTTATACATTAATGCAGTATTTCTCTTACTATAAATTTAGCACATCTGAGACCAAAAGTATAACATTTAAAGCATTTGCTTTAAGAAATCCAATCTAAAGAGTAGAAATTCAAACCATTATGAAATTAAAATTATAATGAACACTTCAGGATTAAAAAGAACATGAAGAATTTTATATTTATCAAAAATGAAACACTAGCTTACCACTTGGCCAGATATATCAATAGGAGACGAAATTTCATTTGTGTATAATTTCCGTTTGGCTCGTTTTGGTCGAGATGCATTTTCTTTGCTTGCATTCATATTTACCGGCTTTGAAGTGCTTATTGTTTCAATTAGCTTCTTTGCTATGAAAAAAGTTTGTTAATTAACTCCTCAAATAAAAAATAATTTCCTAGCTACAAAGATCTGAAATCCTTAAAAAGGAAAGAACATATACAAATAAGAAAAAACACTGCAGTATATAAATGGTCAAAGGACATGCATAGAAAATTCACAAAGAAAAAATAAAGTGCCTAATAAATGCATGAAATAATGATCAAACAAACAAAATCAAGTAAATAAAATATCTTTTGATTGATGCTTACTTAACATAATGGAAAGTTAGGTAAGTTATAGGATAACCAGTAAAACTCTGGAGTTTTTAATAACTTGGAAGAGGTTTACGCTATGTTAAACAAAAGGATACACACATACTAGACTATACAGCATTAAAAATAAAAATAAATCTTAAAAATAATAAGGTAGTAGATTTAGTTAAAGACTGATATATGTAAAGATGTACAAAATGAACATTAAGTGAAAGCAGTCTGCACACTGTAAACCCTTTATTTATATTGGAGTCCTGGTGGCGCAGCGGTTATGCGGTCTGCTGCTAACCAAAAGGTTAGCAGTTCGAATCCACCAGCTGCTCCTTGGAAACCATATGGGGCAGTTCTACTCTGTCCTATAGGGTCAAGATGAATCAGAATCAACCTGATGGCAATGCGTTTTACTTATATTTAATATACACACACGAAAGAATAGAAACCAAACTGTTAACAGATGATTGTTCCTGGGAAGTGGAACAACAAAAATTTTTTAATTTCCTACTTTTCACTTTTCTTTTTTTAATGGACACATGTGGCCTTAAATAGAGAACATATTTCCATCTGGCAAAATTCATGGAGAGAAAATCCAAATATATGTGATATCAACAATATTTTTTAAAAATAGAGAAAGAAAAACAATTTAAGGAAATATGTTAAATTGAGAGTCTCTATGAACTAGCCAGGGAGCCCTGGTGGAGCAATGGTTAAACCACTCGACTGCCAACCAAAAAGTTTTCCAGTTTAAACCCAACAAGCCGCTCCATGAGAGAAAGACGTGGTAATTTGCTTCCATAAAGATTTACAGACTGGGAAACCCTATAGGGCAGTTCTACTCTGTCCTAGAGAGTCACTATGAGTCAGAATCAACTTGATGGCAGTGGATTTATTTATTTATTTAGGTACGTACCAGCCACTATACTAAGCAAAGGATGCAAATAAGAGACAATTTGCCCTTGCAGAGCTTACATTCTAGTGGAAAAGCTAAATAATAAAAAAACAAAAACAAATAATTGCAGTTTGAATGAGTGCTAAGAAGCAAAATATCAGCATGGAGTAATAAAGATTAAGGGGAGCTGGAATGAGAGCTAGTGATGGGGTGGTGAGGGAAGGCATCTCTGATAAAGCAGCATCCGCAATGAGAGCTGAAGGATAAGAAGGGAGCAGCCATGTGAAAAGTCAGGGTGTGTTCTAGGTAAAAGAAAGCAAAAGTGCAATGACCTCAAAGCAAGAAAGAATCCGGCATATTCTAGGAATTGTCAAGAACCCAGAAACATTGAAGCTGGCTAGCCATCAACCATAGAACAACAGGAGGTAAGGTTGGTGAGAAAGTCAGAAATCAGGTTATAATTTGATTTGCATTTGAAAAGATCACTCTGGCTGCCATGTACTGAATGGATAGAAGATGGGCAAGAATGGAAAGCTGGGAGACCAGTGACACTAAGTAATGTATTAATAGTACTTATCAGAAGAGAAGAATTTTGAGAACTAATCTGTTTTCTTCCTTTTTCCTTACTCTTTCAAATGATCTACAACAGACATGTATTGTAATTACAAACCAAAAATTCTTAAAATTAAAAAAGTGATATCTTATATTCTTAGAAATGTTTAAAAAAAAATCCATGCCAGTTTATAAGTTGGGAAGCTGTTAAGAAACTAAGCCAATCAAGTAAGGTAATCATTATCTTACTGGTATGTCCTTCTCCTTGAAAACATATTTCTTTTCAATATAAAAGTGATAGCCAATATAACTTAAATAAAATACATAATATAAAATAAAAGTCCCTCCTCTTCAAATTTAGACTTAACAGTTGCTGTTTGCCCTTCCAGATATTTTCTATGCTTGTATAAACTATATATATATATATACGCTTTATATATATATAATATGCATACTTTATATATAGAATACAAACTTTAAATATATGCATAAAAGATATACACTTTATATATATACATATATATATATATAAAAAACAAAACCAAACCTGGTGCCGTTGAGTCAGTTCCGACTCACAGCAACCCTATAGGACAGAGTAGAACTGCCCCATAGGGTTTCCAAGACACGGCTGGTGGATTCCAATTGCTGATCTTTTTGGTTGGCAGCTGAGCTCTTAACCACTACCCTACCAGGGCTCCGTGTGTGTGTGTGCGTGCGTGTATAAAGTATATTTTTTAAAAAATAGACAAATGGGTCTAGTAGGCACAAAGTCTCCCAACTATACTGAGGCATGACACAATAAACTCACTGGAGCACTTTGGAATATTTTAAATTTTCAAGGAAAACAGTGATCCTCAACAGCTCAAGGTAGTTTATAGTCTCAAAATGAAATCACATTACACTCCTTTTGATGATGAGATCTTTGCAAACTGGGTTTTCATGAACTGAATTTTCAGTGATTATTTGGCCTTAAGTACCTAATAGATGGTACTATTAGGTGTTTCCTTTGGCCCAAAAACACAATGAAAAGAAATGCTGAGACATTAAAGACACTGTGAACCAAGAAAGTTTGGGAACCTCTGTGGTAAATTTTCACTCAGTTCAATTGTCCCCTATTTCTAGTCCCTTTCTCTCCCCATTCTCCTTACCTCTAGTCTCCAATTCATCTTACTGCTGCCACTCAGGTAATCTCTACTCCCCAGTAAAGTCCCTCCACATTCTATATGTAGACACAGATTACTACATGGACTTACCTGAATATACCCTACACTTTCCAGGTACTATTATACCTGTGTTAAAACAGTTACCTTGGTAGATATGCATGTACACACACAAGTGCATATGTATATAAATATTATACACATGCTCACACATACATTAATGTCTACATTATAAAGTAAAAAAGTACCAAGCATACTATTTTTGCAACTAAATTCAATAGATGTTTATGGAAATATGTTTTTGACATATTAAAAAAACATGAGAAGGATATATACCATCATTCTAACAATGAATATCTCTAGAGGGTATAATTATTTGGGGCAGAAGGTGCCTACAACAACCTTCCTCCTATCTGTTATGATCATGTCAGTCCTTTCAATATCCAGGTTAAATCTCATCTCCTCCATAAAATCTTCCCAAAGCCCACTAATCAGAATAGTTCTTTGCCCTCCACTGCTACCTTAGCACTTTGCTTATACCTCTAGCCTTCCCCGGATCGATTACTTAAATATAGGTCTTTCTACTCCACTACATAGTGAACACATAAGGTGTATCATCCTTTCATCTGTTTCCTTCTATAGTATCTAGCACAGGTAGTATAATATTCATTGTATTAAACTGTTGTTGAGTTTATACACCAATCAAATATTAGAAAATACCCTGCATGTAACAAAAAAGGTCATTTAATTAATTCTGTGCAAACCTTTTGATTGAAGAATTGTTGGAGATTGTTGTAAGAAGTCTCCAAATTTTTGCAGTGTTCCTTCTTTTTTCTTAGTGGCCAAGTTTACACTAATTGTGGATGCCTGACTCCGTAAAGAATACGTTTTCTTAAAAAAAAAAAAAAAAAAAAAATTTTCTTAGCTGATAGATACATAGAAACCTAATAAACACATATTTTTTTTTGTTATTATTAATGAGGAATTGTTAGAAGGAAATAACTACAGCTGTGTTAGAAGATTTAGCAGAAACAGTCAAAATTTTAAAGTTTTTATGTTTTATCTACAATAATAACGTAATTAAAAAGTAGAACTTAAAAAGCCAGAGTCAGGTTATAAATTCTCAGAGATGGAACTTGAAATTACATATATGAGAAGGATGAAAGGGCCAGATAATGGCAGAATGAGCGTGGCAGGCGAGTGTTAAGTCAGAAGTTAACACAAGAAAAAGTGCCAGCTACTGCACAAATGTTGAAAGTTATATTCCAAACCGAATTATATATATAGGATATGGATGATAAATGAGTTATAATTGGACAAAACTGGATTTCTGGATAATTACTAATGAGAATTTGATATCTGTGTTTTCATCTTTTACTTTATAAATGTGTTATGAAAATAGTCAATTTGGGACAAAGAAAAAGACAAACCTTTTGCTCCTTTTTGACAGAAGAATTCCTATGTTCTGAAACAGGGAACTTCAAATTACTTCTGGGTGTAGTGTTCTTCTTATTTTCACACTTTACCAAGTCCTTAAAAAAATGAATTTCAGCTCTGGTTAATTTCTTGACTATATTTCATTTTTCTAGACATAAAAAAAATTCTGTGAAGGCTATATTATTACTGATATGGGACATAAAAATCAAAAGAGGCATCTGACCCAAAGGAAAATGGCTGAACTAATGCTAAGGCTCAGGGTAAACTTTCATGTAAATTCAAACCGTCGCTTAGGAACCAGACCTATCACCAAGGACATTCTCTCTGTGGTTAGACTAACACTATAAATCTCTAATCAAACCTTATCAAAACTCTTTGTGTTAGATCTTCCCAGGAGATCTTATGCTCTGAGTGAGGTAATGTTTAACAACCTGTTCCTGACAGTATCCATCCTGCCATAGTCATCCCACTGTTTGTGACAGTCATGAGACCCCCTCTGCAACCACATACCTTGCAATCAATGTATTCTAGTTGTATTAATGTAACCAATAATATTAAAAATCACACTTTGCTTTGTCCCATCTTTGACTGACCTCAATCAGTGTAAAACAGAATACTGTGTTTGTAGTTCCTCCTACGACACTATAATCGTTTGTGATTTGCGACCCCACCCCCCGGCCCCCTTTGTGAGCCTCAGGCCCTGAGGCGCTCAAGTTCTCCCATTCGAATGACATATTGGCTTCAGTAAATCTATTTAATTTTATTTCAACAGAGCTGGAGAGTCTTTCGTCTACAACATTTGACATTAGTCAGCAGGATTTGGAGCCATTTCTCCCTGGCAGGACGCTGAGGGGCTGAAAAACCGCAATCAGGCACCGACAAAGGGTCCCTTGTGCCCTCCCGCTTCTTGGACTCCTCAGGAACTATCCAGAGGTGAGTGCTCCTGAATCAAACCTCGAAACATTTCGACTTGGTTCTCTAGGATTTATCGAAGTCTTCTCAACTTTTATTTTCTTGTTCACGGCTGAACAAGTTTGTGGGAGGTTTATATTTTCAACTGTGGTTTGAGTGTTACAAGGCTGCTACCTACTGGCTGTATCTTGCTAAGAGTAGTCATGGTCATCTTTGGTTTTCTGCTTTGCCTATTTCTAAGTCGCAGCTTGAACACTATCTACTGAGGTCCTTTCAGGTCTTACAGGCCACAAAAACAAAGGGCATAGGTTGCAAGCCCATCCCAACCCCACAGCAAAGCCCCTGATAGGTTTTTTTCCCCCTCTCAGACCCTGAAAGTGCTGAAGTTCTCAGTGAGCTTTCAGTCTTTTGATCCTGTTCACGGTCTGAACACTTTGTAGAAATTTTGGCGTGACAAGTGCACCATCTAACGCAAGAAAGGTGTAACTCCCCACGCAAACCTTTTCCTTTCCTGTTTGTCTCTACAAATGTTTTTTTATGCCTTTGCTGCCATCTACTGGTTGATGCAGTTCAATTCATTTTCTATTTGCACTCCAGGAAACATTTTTTAATTTTCCTGTGTCTTGCAGATGTATTGCTCTGGGACATAGGCTTATAAAATTTGTTAACCTAGGTTTCGTGTACATTGGTGGTGGATGCTACAAGGATTTCGAACTTTCTGACTGAGACTCTGAAAAACCAAATGCAACGTTTTGCTGTTGCAGTCTGACTTTGTGTGCAGCTGGGTGAATCACCAAATCTTGCAGTAAAATAGGTAATGCCAATTTTCAGGGGGCGGTGGCAGCTTCTGATCTGTTTAGTACTGACAATTCAAACTCACAAAAAAACACCAGACTTACTAGTCTAACAGAGAGTGGGGGAACCCCCAAGACCATGACCTCCCGGACACCTTGATAACTCAAAACTGAAGCCACTCCCGAACCCCTTTTCAGAAAAATATTAGACATGCCTATAAAACAAACTGTAACACACATGAGGAACGTGCTTCTTAGTTAATCAAATATATGAGACCAACTGGGCAATTCCTACCTAAAAGCAAGAAAGGGGCAGGAAAACTGGACGAATGGACATGGGGAACCTGGGTGGAAAGGGGGAAAGTGCTGTCACATTGCAGAGATTGCAACCAATGTCACAAAACAATTTGTGTATAAATTGTTGAATGAGTAATTAATTTGTGCTATAAACTTTCACCTAAAGCCAAATAAAATTTTTAAAAAAAATTATATACCTAAAGCTCTTTAAAACAAATGGTTAATCATAATGTTTAGATATTTTCATCTAAATTTTTTTTTTCTATTGACTTTCTTCAACTTTATATTACTTTTACATTTAAATCTCATCAAGCCTTTCACTTTCAAAAATTATCGTAAGTCAGGCAGGGCCACAATGGCAGAGTAGTTAGACACTACCGGTGGACCCTCTAACAAAAAAGACCCGAAAACACAAGTGAGCTGATTATATATGGCAATCTGGGAACCCTGAACATCAAAGAGAGGTGAGGAACCAGACTGAGTGGCAGGGGGAGAGAGACACCATTTGGAAACAGCGAGGAGTTGCCAGTCCTGACCCAGTGAGAGCCTGAAACCATGAGGACGGATCAGCTCATGGTTGAGCCGTGAGGATGTTAAGCAGTGGTCCTTGGGAGGCACGTTTTCTGCACCGGAGAGACCCAGCGCCAGAGAGACTACACAGCCGCCCAGAACCAGTGAAAAGCAGCAGTGGATCGACAAAAGCCAACTACTTGCGTACGGCTTACTGCGCAGATCAAAAACACCCGCCTTAGGGAAAAACCTCTCACCCATTTACCTCCCCGCTCCCGGCTCTGCATTGTGTCCCAGACCGGCATCAGCAACTGCTGAGTCCCCTGGGCTGGAACTAGGATCCGTCACACGCCCGAAGCCATTCTCCCACCTTGGAGAGTGAACAAATTAACAAACACAAGAAAAAAAAAACTGCCAGCTACCCTAAGCCAGGAACCCAGGGTAGGCACAGCTCCTTTGCCTAGGCACAGGCATAAGGGATCCACAGACTGTGAGTGCCTTTCCCCCCACAGAGACTTGTGTGGACCCATTTCAACAGTGTACACCCTCATTACCGCAGTACAACAGGGTATATACTGAAGTCTGACTTGAACAGTTTCAGCTGTGAAGCGGCAGGTTCTTGACATTTGACACTGCTCTGCCCATTAAGCAGGGTCTTCACCTACCCACATCAGGGGCCTGAGGACTGGTGGCTCTACCCACTCCACCTAGCCACCTGTGATAGGGGCCCATGTATAAGAGGTGGCCCCCCAGTCCTTACAGCCAACAGCATTAGGTTGCTAATACTCTGGCTGCAAAACCCACCCACCTACATGCCCTAGGTAAGAGGGACACGCCTTCTTCTTGGACACTCAGGGGAGGCCATCAGCCCCGTACCTTGCTCAGAGTGTGTCCCCCTGCTGCAGCCAGATGCCTGTGCCTACACCAACCACCCATGCCTTTCTAGGACTGTGAGTGAGAGCCTACACCACACACTTGGTGGTTACCTACCTGGGCACCTGAGCTGGATCCATACAGGAGAAGTCAGTGGACTCCTGAGCTCACATACCTAGTAACCGATCTAACCACCTGGTGACAGGACATTAGAGCTTCAAAGGTGCCAGTAATCAAACCAGCTCATATGAGCAGCCTATTTGGGCAAATCAAAACAAAACAAGCACCTAGCACACAGTAAGCAAACAAAATAAATGAATATAATAACATTGATGGCTCAGAGACAACAGTCAATATCAAATTACATAAACAGGTAACCCATGATGATTTCAGCAAACTCCTAAAATAAAAAATCTAGAAATTTTCCAGAGGAAGAAAATTTCTTAGAATTACCGGAGGCAGAATACGAAAGCTTAACTTACAGAACTCTTCAGGAAATTAAGGAAAATGCAGAACACGCAAGAGAGGAAATTAAAAATATTAAAGAAGAGCATAATGACAAATTTAACAGGCTGCAAGAATCCCTGCAGAGACAGCAATCAGAAATCCAGAAGATTAACAATAAAATTTCAGAATTAGACAACTAAATAGTCATAGGAGCAAAACTGAGGCAATGGAAGTCAGAATTAGTGATACTGAAGATAAAGCACTTAACACCAACTTATTTGAGGAAAAATCAGATACAAGGATTAAAAAAAAAATGAAGAACCCTAAGAATTATGCGAGACTCTATCAAGAGAAATAACCTACGAGTAACTGGAGTACAAGAACGGGGCGGGGGGGTTAACAGAAAATACAGAGAGAATTGCTGAAAATATGTTGGCAGAAAACTTCCCTGATATCCTGAAAGATGAGAAGATATCTATCCAAGATGCTCATTGAACCCCACATAAGGTAGATGCCAAAAGAAAGTCACCAAGACATATTATAATCAAACCTGCCAAAACCAAAGATAAAGAGAGAATTTTAAGAGCAGCTAGGGATAAACGAAAAGTCATCTACAAAGGAGAGTCAGTTAGAATAAGCTCGGACTACTCAGCAGAAACCATGCAGGCAAGAAGGTAATGGGATGACATATAGAAAGCCTTGAAGGAAAAAAATTGCCAGCCAAGAATTATATATCTGGCAAAACTGTCTCTCAATGTGATGGCAAAATTAGGGCATTTCCAGATAAACAGAAGTTCAGGGAATTTGCAAAAACCAAACCAAAATTACAAGAAATACTAAAGGGAGTCCTCCGGTTAGAAAATCAGTAACATCAGATAACAACCCAAGACTAGAACACGGGACAGAGCAACCAGATATCAACCCAGATAGGGAACTCACAAAAGTAAATCAAAGCTAAAACACTGAAAACAAGGAAAAGATGTCAATATGTAAAACAAAAAAGAGGGACTTAAAAAATGTAGATAGAGATTTTTCATATGGAGATGAAGTCAAGGCAATACAAAGAAATAAAAGACTGGTATAAACTTAGAAAAACAGGAGAAAATATTAAGGTAACCACAAAGGAAACTAACAATCCAACAAGTCAAAATAAAAAACTAAAAAAATATAAAGACTCAGCAAACACAAAATCAACAATGAAAAAGATGAAAAGAAAACGCATAAAGAAAAACGACTCAGCCCAGAAAATTAAGTGGAACAAA